CACCAGCTCCTGCTATGGCACCTCTCCAGGCATTGGGAGAAAGGATTTGGGGTGTTTTTCCTGGGGGATGGGACTGAAAGAGATGTCACGTCACACAGAAAAGTCCGGAGATTTTTAAAAGGATTTTTTGAGCCTTACTTTTGGGGTGTTTGGAGCCTGACAGGATCAGCTTGTCCCAGCATTTCTGTTCACATCCCCTCTGGCCATAACCTGGAGGTTACAGGGAAGTGAGGAGGGTGGGCAGAGAAACCAAACAGAGCTGGGCAGGGGGACTGGGAACCCCAGCTGTCCCCTCTGACTGTCCCCACATCCCTGGGCTCAAGGACACTGCATGGCAGAACGGTCTCTTTGTGCCGTGCCCCAGGGGCAGGTGTCCCCCCGCTGTCACAGCAGCCCACCCACAGCCCCATGGCTGCCATGGGGCCAACAGGGCATTTGTGCAGCTCGGGCACCGCGGCGGCTGCGTCCAGGAGGATGCAGACAGGATCAAACCAAGCGCCCAGCTGGCAGCAGAGCACCCGGGAATAGCCGGACCCCCGCTCCCACCCGCAGGGCAGTCCCTGGGCTCTGGCATCGCCCTGGCACACAATTCCTCTCCTGCCTTTCTCCAAACGCGAGCGGTGGCAGCGAGGCGGCAGCGAGCTGGCTCTCAGCGCTCAGCAGCCCACGTGGGGAGGCTCCTGCCAGGGGAGCGACATCAAATTAAATATTTAAATTAAAAAAAAAAAAAAAACAAAACAGGCAGAGAGAAGGAAATGATGGATGGGAGGATTTGCAGCCGTGGCCGTTTGTCCTGGCGGAGGGACTCTGCAGGCGCAGGGGAGCTGGCGATGCCCATGGGGGCATGGCCGCGCAGCCCCCGGCGCGGCACGGCACGGCACGGCACAGCGTGGGGAGCAGCCGTCCCCGCGGTCCCCCCGCCGCCCCGCTGCCTTTGCCAGCCGACTAATTGCGCCAGTGACTTTGCAGTTCCCAAAATAGCTGCCGGCTCCGGCGGGTGACGTCAGCGGGAGCCGCGGCGGCAGGCCCGGCAGGAGCGGGGAAGGAGGACGCTGCTGGCACCGGGGTGTGGTGAGCGGCTCCTGCACCCTCCGTGCTCCCGCTGGGTGACCTTGGCACCCGGGGCCACGCTCGCAAGGGAACGAGGCTTGCGGTGCCGCAGGGATGGCGCAGGGAGTTCAGGTCCTCGTTCATGCCAGAGGAGGAGGAGGTGGTGCGAGGCTGTCCCTGCCCTGCATCCCTCCCACGTGGGTGTCCACATTCCCAGGACCTCTGTAAGGGATGGGGCAGGCTGCCCCGGGATGGGGGGCAAATCTCGGTGCCCCCACGGGGTAAGGAATGCCCCTCCAGCCAGGGCATCCGGGTCCCTGCAGCTCCCCGAGGGTGTCAGGGGGTGAGCCAGGACCACCCTCCCCGTGTCCCCCCAGGGAAACTGAGGCACGTGGGGGATGCAGAGGCAGCAAGGAGGGCCGGGGGCGGGCACAGTGAGCTGGGGAACAGAGCAGAGCCCAAGGTCACCCAGGTGGTGCAGGGATGCTCTCTGCCCAGGGCTGCCTCCGGCACTGACTCACCCTGTGCCGGATAGCGCCCAGCTCCTCCGGTTACAGGCACAGACGGCATTGCCTTAACGGGGCACGGCGGTGGCACGGCTGGCCCAGCCCGGGAAGGGCACCCCTGGGACCGGGCACCGACCCATGGGCCCCTCCTGCCGTCCCTGCAGCCTCCCCCCACAAGCACGGCATCCTCCGCTGCGCTCCAGCCAGGAGAACTGCTTGTACCGGGCTCATACTGGTCCCAGAATGGATTGCACATCCCTCGCAGCACAGCTGGGGGGGAATTTAATCATGAATGTCCCTCACCTGCCCCAGTTCCCGGGCAAGCAGAGCTCCTGAGCCTCACACCAGCGCCCAGCCAGAGGCCAGCTTATTATTCCAGAACGTGACAAAATAATTAAAGCCTCCTCCATTTCCCCTTGCTCATTTGTGCTCCTTCAGCCTGGATTAATGGGTCTCTTCTCCCTAGCACAGACTCATTCCTTATTCCTAATAGCCCATAAATCCCAGCCTCAAAATAACCCCAGCTTTTGCCTGGACCTGCTGAAATATTTATTCTCTCCCCTCTGCTACCCTCCACACCATCCCCTCTCCAGGGACGGGGAGAGGAACTAATCGATGGCATCGACCGGTGTGGAGCTGCAGCTGCTCTGGGCGCCGGGAAACAGCTGACGTCGGCAAGAGGATGGGAGCTGGGCAGGAGCTCGGCTTATCCCGGCTCCCATGCAGCCGCTGCAGCCTGGCTGTGGTGCCGTGGTGGGATGCTCTCACACCCTTGGCACCCCCCCGCGCTGGTACTCTGCTCCAGAACATCCCCTGTGCTTCTACCGAGCTGCAGAGAATTCCCTGTGCTGCAGGTGTGCTCCAGAGCATCCTTTGTGCTGCTAATGAGCCCCAGAGCAATCTCTGTGCTGCTACTCAGCCCCAAAACATCCTCTGTGCTGCTACCCTGCTGCAGAGCATCCTTTGTGCTGCTACCGAGACCCAGAGCCTTCTCTGTGCTGCTACCCTGCTGCAGAGCCAGGGCATCCTCCATCCCCCTGTTCCTTGCCCCAGGGCATCCCCTCGCTGGTACCCTGCTCTCGCCCTGCCTGCCACTCCCTGCTCCTAGAGGAGCAGGAGATGATGCCCAGCTTGGCTGTGAAGTGTCTAGGGGGATCCCTGTGGATCCCAGCCCCTCCCAAGCTGGCTGCAGGAGAAAAGGCTGGAAGGCAGGGAGGCAGCTGCTGCCTTTCCTGGCTGGAAACCCTTTGCTTGCCGGATTGCAGGCTGTGAAAGGGAGAAACTCCAAGATACCAGCACCTGCTCTTCCCAGCTCAAAGCCAAGAGGAGCAGGATGTGGGGTAACACCAAAAAACAGCTTTGCCAGGTCAAGGCATAATCCCCAAGAAAAACAGGGAAAATTCATCCAGCCTTTCTTATCTTCCTCTCGGTGACACCCCAAGAAGCTGCAGCTTCCAGAGCAGCTCCTGGCCACCAGCCTCACTACCATGTCCCATAGCCACAGAGAGGGGATGGCAAAGCTGGAGGAGCCCACAGCATCCTCTGACCCACCCCAGCTGGTGTGGGCTGTAGGAATGGCCTGGGAGCTGCTGGGGACAGTTCTGTCCCCCTCCTGCTCCCAGCAGGACCCAGGCTGGGAGCTGTCAGCCTGGACATTCCCCAGCTGTCCTGGAGGCAGGAGGCGAGACGGGAAGTGAGGGGGCAGTGGAGCGTGCAGGACCTGGGAGCAGGAGGATTTTGTTCACACACCACCTCCCTGCCCTCTCCCAGGGCCTCAGCAAGCCCTTGTCCAGCTGTGCTGCCACAGCCTGCCTGGAAGGTGCTTCCATGCCTCAGTTTCCCCACTGATGGAAATCTGGACTGGGATCAAAGTGCTGGGAAAGCTCTGTCCATGAGAAGTGGAAGAGAAGCAACCAACAGGAGCCTGAGCATGGGGCCAGGGCCACCCCACAGCTCACATGACTGCCAAATCCCACTGGGAACAAACCCAAAGATGGATCCAACCTCAACCCCTGAGCCTTACGGGTATCAGGGTTGTACCCTCAGAGCTGGGGTGGGGAAAGGTCCATGCTGAGCTCTCAGCTGGGTGGGAATCAAAGGCTGTTTGAGGGTCAGACAGGGATTTGGGTCAATTTTTGGCAGCAAGAATTTAGCTCTCTCCTCCAGGTTTGGGGCATCCCCTCTTCTCCAGGCATTTGTTTTTATGCAGGGCTTTGAGGGCATGACAGGAAAACAAGTCAGCTCTCAGCACTTTCAGAGGGCTTTTATATATTCACAAAAACAAACCCAAACACATGTAAGAAAAGAAAAGTGGGAAAACCGAAATAAAACAACCCAGGAATATGCACAGTCTTTTATCAACAAAAGAATTGCACAAAACAGAGGAGTGAGCTCTGTGCCACTGCATGAGCCTTTCCCCACCCTTGAACCCCATCCATGACAACACGGAGATCATTTTCCCAATGTCCCAGTAGGTACCAAACACTTGGTGGTGAAGGTGACTGGTGCTGCAGGCTGGGTCTTTCCACCTGAGCTGGGAGGAAAACAGCCTTTAAACCCCAAAGACACAGCACTGTGGAAGGAGCAGGCTCCTGGGTCCCTTTCCTTGCTCTGGGATGGGATTTGGGGTCTTCCCTATGGTTTTCCATCTGCCTGTGTCCTGCCTGCCAGCTCCCTGCCTGCCCTGGGCACCTCAGAGCATGGAGATTTTGGGACAGAGCAGCCAAAGCCATCCTGTGTCTGTATGGCACAGGATGGAGAAGGATGGGGGGACTGCAGGGAGCCCCATCCTTTCCCACTCCCCAGGAGATTTTTGGGCATGAACTAGCTGTGCTGAAGCCCCCCAGGAAGGGAAATCTCATCTGAGCTCTCCTAAACCCCACAGTGTTTGCAGAAGGAACAGGTGAAACAGGCACAAGGATTGCAGATGGTGTGAGATCCAACGCCTGCATTTCTGCTGCATGGAAATGGGGGAGGAATTGGTATTTCTGATGCCAAAATGGGAAGAAAAAGCTGGTATTGGGATTGCTGGAGGGCTTGCAAAGCAAATTGCAGAACAACAGTAACTCACTGCAGAGCCACTGGAGCATCCTGGTGTGATTTCAGCCCCCTTTTTACATTTTTTTAGTATAATTTAATGTCATTTTCACAGCAGAAAATCCATTTTTCTCTCCTCATCTCTTAAAAGAAATGGCTGAAACCAACCAGATTTCACACCAGAAGCAGTTTTGTTTTTCCAAGGGGCAGTCTGGGGGTGTGAGGGGGAAGCTGCAGCCACTATTTCAGGAGCTGAGGAGAACCCAAATCCTCCCATCCTCAGAGCCCGAACATCCATAGGGCCAGAGCAGAGAGTGTGTCCAGACCAGCACCAAGGATTCAGCTCCTCTCTGTGGCAATGCCACCAGCTCCCTCCAGCATCTCTGTCCCCCCTTACCTGCAGGAGGGTCATAGGATGTCACAGACAGCACCAGCATCCTCGGAGTGGTCGCAGTTGTGGACGTCCCAGCGGATGTGGGAGCAGCGCAGCAGCGAGGGCTCGTGGCCCTTGCACTTGAGGTTGTCGAGGAAGATGTAGCCGGTGCCTTGGCCATAGTGAGCCTCGCCCCAAGCTGCCAGGGCGTGGCCACAGCCCAGCTGCCTGCACACCACCTTGGCGTCCCGCAGGTCCCAGGCATCGTCACACACCGTGCCCCACTGGGACAGGTAGAACATCTCCACACGCCCCTCGCACCGGTGGCTGCCGTTCACCAGGCGCAGGGACCCTGCGGAGGGGATGGGGTGAGGCAGCCCCTGCCCACCCCAGCACTGTGTCCCTCTCTCTCTGCCTGCCCTGGGCTCCCCCACTGACTGTGCACAGCCAGGAGCAGGGGGGTGACCACCTGCCAGAACTGGGGGTGAGCCTCAGAGCATCGTGGTGGATGTTAAGTTGGAGGAACCATCACCTTTGTTCCCAGCTCTGCCCCTTTGGCCCATCACCTTCTCTCCCCACCCTGAGGTCCATCACTCAGTGGTCCATCACCTCTGCCTGAACCAGCCTTAGGGGCACCAGGAAAGGCCATGACTTAACAGTGTCATCAGTTTTCCCCCCTCCCATGGGCTGCTCCAGGCACTGCCAGATCTTGTGCCTCTGCCTGAGCCACTTTTTCCACTCTGTGCCAGCATGGAGCGTCCCCAGGGCTGTGACCCCAGGTGACACCCCACTACCTACCCTCCTTGGGATGAGTCGGGGCCAAGGTGGTGGTTGTGGCAGTGGCTTCTTGGAAATGGTCTTCAGTGTCATCAGCACCTGGTGCAGTGGAGAAGAGGTGGGAAAAGTGACTCAAGGGGCAGGGTTGGGTCAGAGCCCCCCCCAGCAGTGGTGTGGGATGGCTGCAGGGATGTGGGGTGGGATGTGCAGCCACTGTGCACAAATGGAGACCAGAGAGGTGCCACACTCCAACCATCACCCACACCATGGCACCGACTGCCATGTGCAGGACAAACCCCGGGGGTGTAGGGGCTCATTCTTCACCCACAACCCTATTTAGGAGACCCCATTTCCCCCAGCCAGTCCGAGCGTGGCCGAAATCCTCCCTACATCCACTGACTTCCCCACTGAACTGGGATTCACCGGAGACCTGCAGACCCCACTCTCACCTCGGCAAATGACCCCGGCATCCTCGTGGTGGCCGCAGTTGTGCTGTCCCCAGCCCAGGTGGAAGCAGTCGGCCAGGCTGGCCTCGCCGCCGCCGCAGCCCACGTTATCCAGCAGCACGGGCCCGCTGCCGTAGCCGAAGGAGCCGAGCACGGTGGCGGCGAGGGCGCTGCCGCAGCCCAGCTGCCGGCAAACCACCTGGGCGTCGGGGAAGTCCCAGTCGTCGTCGCAGACGGTGCCCCAGGTGCCGCGGTGCCGCACCTCCACCCGCCCGCGGCAGCTCCCGTTCCCGTTCGCCAGCCGCAAGCCGCCACCTGCGTGCCACGACGCCGGGGGGACCAGGGCTCCACAGGGGGTTCGGTGTCCCCTGCTGACCCTCCAAGGGCGTGGGGTGAGCCCTCGGTTTCTGGGGTAATCCCTGGGGATCTGGGTGCAACCCCCTGGGCATGTGGGGCAAACCCATGTGTGCATGGGGTGAGTCTCTGGGTTATGGGGTAACCCCTGAGGGTGTGGGGCAAAGCCCTGTGGGCACGGGATGAGTCTCTGGGTTACGGGGTAACCCCTGGAGAGCATGGGGTGACCATGGGGATGTCAACTGAGCCCCTGGGGACACGGTGAGTCCTGGTGATGTGGGTGACACTGGGCACATGGGGTGATTCCCAAGCAGCATGGGGTTAGCACTGTGAGCATGAAGTAATCCCTGGAGATGTGGGATGAACCCTTGAGCATCATGGGGTGAACAACACCCTGTGAGCATGGAGTAAACCCTGGAGATGTGATGTGAGCCCTGGGGATGTGAGATAATTCCTGGGGCATGGATTGAGCACTTGGAACATGGGATGACCTTTGGGGACGTGGAAGGAACGCTGGGGGCATGGGGTGATGAGCCCTGGGGATGTGGAGTGACTCCCCCAGGGCCATGGAGCCCCATGCAGGACTAGCAGCAGCTGCACACTTACTTTCCTGCTCGATGGTCAGGAGCCTGGTGGTGACCACCTCAGTGGCCTGGGAGGGCTGATCCCTGCTGTCTGTCACTGCTGGGACAAGCGTGGGGACATGTGAGCATTGGGGGATCCAGATCCAGCACCCGCTGCCCCTGCCCCAGTCCCCACCAGCACCATGGCTGCCCCCTGGCAAGACCCTGCCATGGACAATGTCACCCCCCGAGCATCACCCACACATGGCAGGACCCCAGGGTGGCCAGGCTGGGTCACAAGAGGACACAGAGGGCACAGCTCCCCCCGCAGACGAGTGACTGCCAACCTCCTACCTGTGGCCGTGGCTGTGAGGGTCTCCTCAGAGCCCAGGGCCACCGAGGTGGTGAATGATGTGATGGTGGATGTGTCCAGTCCTGTGGTGACACAGAGGGATAGAGGTGACACCTGGGAGATTTATCATCAGGATTCATTACCTTTTATGCTTCATTATCCCCTGGCCCTCTGAGCAAGGTCTGGATGTGGTGGTGCCATCGACTCTGTGCCCAGAGGAGATGCCAGAGGGGATGGGGATGTTTAGTAAGGGAAGGACCAGCCTGAAAAATTGTCCTTTTTTTTGTCCCTACATCATTCCCTTTGTCCATTAACAGTGGGAAAGGGAAAGCACTGGCACCTCCTGCTCCCATCATTGGCCATGATAATGAGGGAATTCAGGGGGATTATTAACATCATAAACAGTAATCAGTGGCGAATGGCAGGAATACATCATTTCAGGAGGGGAAGGGGAGGCAGGCTGGGCCTGGCACGGTGCCCGGCCCCTGGCAGCCGCTCCCTCCTTCCGGACATGGGCAGCTTGTTTTCCAGCCAGCAGAGCAGGGAAATGGCAGAGGGAAATGGCAGCATGGCAGATGCATTTCCCCTGCAAATCACCACCCTGGCTGTGGGCTCTTGGCACGGGGTTGCTACTCTGGAGCACCAAGATGAGGGTGGATAAGGAGCAAGGATGCTCCCACAGCACAGAGCCCAGTCCCTGTCCAGCCTTGGGCATCTCAGCACCTCTCTGAGGATTTCTGCTTGGAGAATAGGATGTCCCAGGGTTTTTCCCCACCCTGAGGGCAGTGCCCTGCCAGGTACCTGTGCAGATGACCCCAGCATCCTCGTGGTGGCCGCAGTTATGGATGCCCCAGCCCAGGCTGTAGCAGGCAGACAGGAAGGGCTCACTGCCATCGCAGTTGACGTTGTCCAGGAGGATACGTCCTGTTCCATAGCCAAAATAGGCATTGCTCTTGTAATCCAGGGCTTGCCCACAGCCCAGCTGCTTGCAGACCACGCTGGCATCACTCAGACCCCAGTCATCATCGCAGACAGTGCCCCAGTTCCCGCGGTAGAAGATCTCCACCCGGCCCTGGCAGGTGTCGGGGCCGCTCACCAGGCGGATGCTGCCGTCACCTGGAGGGTGGCAGCATGAGGTGAGAAGGATGTGGTGTCCCTGCACGTGGCACAGCCATGTCACCGTGCCCAGACCCTGCTGTGCCCGTGACAGCAAAGGAAATGAGTGAGAAAGAGCAAGGAAGGGGCGAACAACAGGGCTTGGGAACTTTGGGAACCTCTGGGATAGGGTGAGGCCATGGCCAGCACAGTGATGGGGTCTAGGGGTCTGCACCTCAGGGCTGGAGGGTTGGGAGGCTTCAAGAGAGGCAGCAGGTGACAGTGGGGCACACTGCCCTCAGGCAGGATGCCCCCCCTGCAATGACAGAGGAGCAGCTTACTTTCCCCATCCTGTACCGGGGCTGTGAGGGTCCTGGTGGTCGGTCCTTCGCTCACTTGCGTGGGTGAGAACTCTGCAAAGGGAAGCAGAGAGGTGGCACCTGCTGCTGCTCCGCCTCGAAGCTGGAGGGATTCCCTCCTGCCCCACTGCTCCAGGAGGGTCTGCACCAAACCAGCCCCAGCTGAAAATAGAGGGGTTTGCAGATGCACTGCTCTGCCAGAGCTCTCTGCCAACACCTCCAGCCTCTCTTCTGCCCTCAGACCCAGCTCCCCACCTCCTTCCACCTCTCCTCTCCAAGAATGCCATGATTCATTTTCCTGCTCAATCCACAACCTCTGTTCTCTGGTTGCTGTTGGTACAACCTACCAGCAACCCAACATCCCTGCCTTTCCATCCCTCCTTTTCCAAGCCCTGCCTCTGCAGGACGTGGGGATTTATGGAGCAGCTGCTCCAGGTCTGCACAGCCTCACTTTCACAGCTCACTGATGCCTGGCTGATGAGCAAACCTTGCACAGTGACAGAGGAACGTGTGTGGGGTACATAAGGGTCGTCAAGGAGCCGTTCCACTTTCACTTGCCAAGTTCAAACACTTTCCACTGCTTTTCTCACCTTTTGGAACATTTCCTACCGAAAATCTCAGCAATTTAAAGAAACACAAGTCAAAAGGGGAAAGAGCAGTTGGGCAGCAACTGACTCGGAGGCAGGAGTGTGGGTGGGCATGTGCTCTTTCCCCAGGGATCATGCTGGAGAGGGCGCAAAGTCCCTGAGCTGGGAGTGACAAGGAACACAGAACAGGCTGGTCACCTTATGGAGCAGCAGCCTGTGGAGCTGGGAGGTGACCTGGATTGAGGAGAGGGATGAAAGAAGGATGCAGGGGATGTTTGGCTGGCCTAGGTCAGAGAATCAAGCTCTGAGATATGACTCTTGGGCTCCACCAAGGCCTCTGCAGCCCCAAGTCTTGCACTCCACAGGAATCCCCTGCTCTCCTTGCCCCCAAGGAGCCCAACCTCGTTACCATTGCACACAACAGCCACGTCCTCATAGTGGTAGCAGTTGTGGATGCCCCAGCCATGGCTCCAGCACTCGCTCAGGGCTGCCTCCCAGCCCTTGCAGTCCACGTTGTCCAGGAAGATGGGCCCACTCCCCTGGCCAAAGGTCATGGCAGCTGGGAGGGTGATGGCATGGCCACAGCCCAGCTGGCGACACACCACGTTGGCATCCACGATGTCCCAGTCATCGTCACAGACTGTCCCCCAGGAGCCATTGTAGAGGATCTCCACTCGCCCCTGGCACCGGCTGGGCCCGTTGGTGAGACGGATCTCTGGGAGGAAGGGAACAGAGAGCTCCCTCAGCAGGGACCAGTACAGAAACAGGGGGATACAGGGACACAGAGATATTGGGACACAGGGACACAAGACCAGGGGGACACAGGGGCACAGGAATACAAGGCCAGAGCCACTCAGGGACACAGGGATACAGGAACACAAGGCCAGGGGACTCAGGGACACAAGGGCAGGGAAACACAGGGACACAGGGACACAGGAACACAGGAATACAAGGCAATATCCACTCAGGGACACAGAGCCAGAGGACTGCAGCTGATCCCTCAGCAGTGCCAAGATCTCCAAAACCCCCAGCTCCAGGCCTGGGCTCTCTCCTCGCTGAGCTCTGCCCCACTGGCCATGGGGAGCAAATCTACATCAAACTCCTGCTCCTTAAATAAAATCCTGCTTCTTCTCTGTAGCACAACAAAGTTGTTGGGTTGGTGCTGCCCACCTGCTGGTGGGTCATGGGCTCCCCTTCATCTGCTGGCAGCAGTGGCTGTGGAGACACAGCACATCTGAATCCAGGAATGAGATGCACCATCACCAAGGTCAGGCTGGGCAGGGCTTTGGGCAGCCTGGTCTAGTGAAGGTATCCCTGCCCATGGCAGGGGTAGAATGAGATGGTTTTTAAGATCCCTTCCAACCCAAACCATTCTGTGGCTCTGTGATGTTCCCATCATCTTGCCTGCTAAAGGGCAAAAACCCAGTGGGTGAAGGGAAGAGCAGACATGTGGCACCACTTGTTGACTTACAATAGGTGACAAGTGACAAGATGCAATTAGCAAATTCTTATTAGCCTCAAATGCATCCAGAGCTGGTCCCACATGGGAGCTGGTGGGATGGAGATGATCTCTCAAGCTGCTGGTGACAGGGAGTAGGCGTGGAAGTGCCCAGGGTCTACCACATCAAGGGAATTATTTACTTGTGTGTGATGCATGGCACAGGGACAGGGACTCAGCAGGAGGTGGCAGAAATCTCGTTTCAGGATAATTAGCAGAATAGGGATAATGAAGAATCTTTATTTCCTTCCTATAAAAGAAGTTTAGCTTCTTCTTGCCACTTTTTGTTACAAACCAGTATCTTTCCTTTTTTAAATTCCCCAAATCCCTTCTTTTACCTAAAAACACATTTTTCAACTATAAAACTTCCTGGAGAAAAGTGAATTTAAGAGAAGAATCTCACCTGGGAATGGCAACATCTCGGGCTCAGAGGTGGTGCCTGCAATGGAGAAGAGAAAGGATCAGCTCTCCCCAGAGAGGAGGAGGTGCAGCTTGGAAAGTGATGGCAAAAGGGATGGGATGGGTGTGGTGGGAACTGGCAGGACCCAGCACCCTTGGACCCTTCCCTTTCCTGCAAAGTCCTGGTGTTTGTGGGGAAAAATGAACACCCTTCCCCAGGGCGTTCATCTACTTCATAGGTGGGGAAACTGAGGCAGCATATGAGTGACTGTGACTCTGGTGAGATTGTGCTTGAAGCACAAGGTGACACATATGTGACCCTGATGAGCCCAGTGGCCAGCAGAAGCCACTCCAGGTGGGTCCTCTCTTAGCCCAAGTCTTGGGCACCTTTTTGTCCATCACTGTCTCCATTGCCGCCTTGCTGTGGGCCCTGGGCAGCTCCTGCATCCTCCTGCCCCATCACCCCCATGGAAAACTTGGGTGGTGAGATGGGAACAAAGAAAATCAATCCAGCTTAAGAAACCCACTGGAGATCTGATGGAAGATGCTGCACCCTGTGTGCATTTTAACTGATTTTTTTCTTTTATTTCCCCAACAAAACCCACTTTTTAGAAGCTCCATAATTACGTGCAAGTACCAACACACCTGCTGATGGGGTGCAGCTACCTCAGGGGTGAACAAACCTCATCCAGAGGGAGGTGAGCACTTGAAGGATGCAGGATGTGTCCTCATCTCTGGACCCCCCTCCCACAGCTGGGCGCTGTTTGGGCACAAAATCCCTCTCAGCCCCACTGCTAAGTGATGTTGAATCCTCCTTGGAATGCTGCCAGCATGGGTCACTGAGGGCTCCAGCTTGTCCAGGAGGTCACAGCAACATGAACATGATGCCCATGGGGTCGGTGGTTGGGGATGGGTGGCTGGACCTCATAGACATCCCAGTCCACAAGCAGTTGTCTGATGCTGGAGATCTGCACAGATCTCCTTGGGCATCTGATGTGTCCTGGGCTTGAGGCTCTGGCTGCACAACCCTCTCCCATGGGTGACACCTCCCAAAATCCTTCCAGGTGGAAGGTGTCATGGCAGGCGGTTTGGACCTAGATAAGATTTAAGGTCACTTTCAACCCCAGCCGTTCAGTGATTCTGTGATGCCTCCATGCCAGTTACAGCACCCAAGGGCTGATCAACACCCATGGGTGCCTCTGTGGCCTCTTCTCCTCCCACTGCCTCGGACCAGCCCTGTCCTGCTTCACACTCATCCCACAAGCAGTGACGTGAAGGTCAATCCCAGCCGCTCGGGAGGCGGATGTCACGCCGTGAGCAGCAGTGTGAGCCCGGGGGGACAGCGGAGCAGATGAACCCACCTCCCTTTTCCTTGCTAGGACGTTGCCTGGGAGACCATTAAGTCAGCCAGAAATCAGGGCTGTCAAAGAAAGACCTAGAAGCCCCAAGAGAAAGGAGAATAAGGCAACTGTCTGGCTGTATCCATGACTTAGCAGGGATGCTGGGATGAGCAGCAGCAGCTGGGGAGCTCCAGCGTGGTCAGTGCTCCTGACCTCCCCAGCTGGAACAGGCATGGAAAGGGATGCTGTGATTCCAGCAAGAATTGGGGATTTTAAACAGGTGAGACCACGGGAGCAGAGAGGCTCTGCAGGAGAGGTCAGGGAAGGATGCAGCAGCCCCGTGGGCTGGACAACAGGGTAGAGGTAATTCAGCTCACCCCTGCACCAAAAATGGGGAGACACGAGGGTTTCTAGGAAGAGTGTTTGATCCTGGTTTGTATTGATTTTTGACACCTAGTCCACTCCAGTGCCGAAAAAGCAGTGGATAAAAAGGATATTGATAAATATTCATCTCCCTTTAAGTCAAAATCAAAGCTCTGAAATATTCATTTAAGAGCATCCTCCAGCAAAGTCAGGAGAGATCTGAAAAGAATATGCCTGGTGTGTCTACAATAATGAGGAATGAGGGGGAAACTGTCTTTTTTGAGAAGAGATAGAGACCTCCATGTTTCTCTGATCCAGCTTCACAGAGCCAAAAGAAAAAGAGAAACTGCTCTAGTAAACACCGCTGCCGAGCAAAACCACCAAACGGGAGGACAAATCGTTAGCGACTAATCTGTGCCCATTAATGAATAGAACCAGGAGAGCCAGGCGATGCAGGGGACAGCGACAGAGCCACCAGGGTCCCCACAGGGAGTGTGGGCGCAGCATCCCGAGGGGGAAGTGAAGCACCAGCTGAGGGGGTGGGAAGGTAAAAGCCGATTTAACTCAATTAGGATGTCTGACTACACCTGAATTCCCAGTTTTCTGGCTGGCTGTGCCTTGGCGCGGGTTTGTTGAGGCAGGAATGCGTTCCCCACCGCCTGGCTGTAATTAATGGATAGAGTCACACTGGGATAACTGCGCTGCCTCTGCACTCGTGCGGACCCGCATTCCACAGCTTTTCCCAGGTCTATTTAAATGCTTCCCATCCTGGCTGGACAGTGCCTGCCAGGAGTGAGTAGGGACTGTTGTCCTCGGGGGATGGGTGCTCATCCCACCCGTTTCTTTGGAAGGACTGGTCCCACAGATCCTGGGGAGAAACTGCAGGAGCATCCCTTGGCCATCAGCATCTTCCCATGAGTGCTGCCCGCTCAGAGCCCAGAACTGCTTTGTCGCCAGTGCTGGCAGCTGCCTGCCCCATTTCCCTGCCTGTCCTCAGTGCTGGGCTTGCCATCACAACCGGGTCACGGTGGGACACAAGAGCTGAACTTGTTCCTCTGTCCCTGTGCACACTCAGTGCTCTAGGGGACACCACTGTAACCCTGTGCCTGGAGAAAATCTGCCCACAAATCTGAGAGCTGGAGAGGGATCACGGGTGCCTAAAACCCCTCCCACAGCCCCAGGCAGAAGCTCACCAGTGGGGCTGAGGAGGAGGAGGACGAGGAACGTGGCTGGCATCAAGGAGAGAGGCAGCAGCTCGAAGTCCGGCCTCCTTGTGCCGTGCAGGGTGTCCGGACAGGGACCGAGTATCATTGCTGCTTGTCAGTCCTCTTCTCCTGAAGGCGAATTTCCAGAGGATATCTCCCTGAAACATGCAGACAGCAGTGGTAGTGGCCAGGAGAACCTGTGGTCACCAAGGGCCATGCAGGACCTGTGAACCTGTCTCTTCTCAATATTTCCAGGAGCAGTGACCAGGAGACACATGATAAGTAACTCCAGCTGGATTCATTGAGAACAAGTGATTTTTTTCTTGAGTGGCAAGATGAAGCTGAAGGGCCATACCCCACCCGTGAGATAAAACTCAGCAACAGGGAATGTCAGTAGAAGAGGAAGAGATTAAATATCTTAAAATTCCATTTCCCCCTCATTTACTACTCACTGCCGAAGGGGTGGATTTCCAGCTCTGTGTCACTCGCAGGCTGTCTGGGAGGGGGATGGGTGCTGGTCCTGCTGGCCGGGACACCTCTGGGAGCCCAGACCCACATCCCGCGCTCCCAGCAGCCGGTCTGGCGGCAGCGTGCGCTGGGGGAGCAGTGCCATCGTGAGGATGCTCCCGCACGGCTCCAAAGCCTGGCTGTCAGGCTCAGCCCTAAAATTAGTCCCTCCAGCTCACACGGGGCACATCAATTCCTGAAGAGATGCACAACGACTGCTGCCTCTTCTACTGGTGGTCAGAAACTTGGGGGAGGTCATTGAAATCTGCTGTATCAGTGACTTACCCCTCCTTCCCATGGAAACCCCTCATCCAGCCTTTTGCTGCTCTTGGTTTTCCCATGGGGAGGCATGGGATGGGAAGAGCTCCCAGTGGGACCGTGTGCTGGCGTCCACCCAGCCGAGGCCCCTCCACACCATGGGCTGGGGGGGCTCCAGAGCCTCCAGACCAAGGCTTGGACTTCATTGCCCACACTAGGGAGAGATGATGGTGGACCAAAGGGTTTTCTGTGCACCAGCAAGAGGTGATGGAGGTGCAGGAAGGAGCCCTGGATGGGACACAGCCCCGTTACATCTCCCTGATCTCTGCTCGACTCCTGCTGACCAAGCCTCTGGAGGAGACTCACCAGCGGACAGACAGCTCAGTGATGGGGGCTGAAAACCAATCTACTCGCTGAGGTGGTGGCTTTCAATACTCCATTCATCCCTCCTGAAGCATCGAATAATGTCGCCTTTTGTCCCACGGGCCCTCCCCTCTCTCCAGCGGGGCAGGGCTGACAGACGGCCCCTCCGCCGCCCTGTCCCGGCCAAACCCCGGCATCGCGTCCTGCTCGCAGGGACGTTGTCATCGCCGGCCACTTTTGTGCCGGAGCCAGCGCGTTCCTGCACCCTGGCAGGGTGGCAGCGGGCATTAACCACTGCGGTGCTGTGCCACGGCTGACCCCAAAGAGGGAAAACACAACTTTCCTTTTCCGTCTGTGCTCTTCCAGCTGCTTCTCAATCCTCACCCCAAAGCGCAGGATTCAGCCGAAAACTGAACCCCTTTCCTTAAACCCAGGGGTGTTGGGGCTCTTTCAGAATCCCCACAGATTAAAATCTGCTTTTAAGCTGTAATTAGTCGTTATGGCACTGCAGGAAAACCCAGCATCTCTTTTAACATCACTCAGAGAAGTTGTGGATGCCCCATCCCTGGGAGTGTCCAAGGCCAGGTTGGACAGGGCATGGAGAAACCTGGGCTAGTGGAAGGTGTCCTGCCCATGGCAGGAGGGTGGATTGGGATGGACTTTAAGGTCCCTTCAAGCCCAAACCATTCTGTGATTTTGTGATGATTCTATGATTTAAAGCACTGCTGAAGGTGGGTTCATGGAAGTCCCTTCACACCAATGTTCCCAAGCTGTCAGGTGTCCTGTGAAGCCACCCCTCACCATGGACCCGATGGAAGAAGCAGCAAATCCTCCATCACCCCCATCCTGCACAAGCACTGACCACCAGGGATGGTACAAAACTCACAGGGAAGGATCAGGGCTTTAACGTGGGGCAGAGAAAATCCCTGATTTCACCCCAAATAACACACCAGAGCAGACACACAGTGCCCAGCCAGCTTTTTGCCCCCAGTGAAAACTCCCTCCTCCCACCTGGGCACAGGACCCCACAGGTCCTTTCATCCCTTTTGGTCTCCTCTGTACCCCTTGGCCACAGCTGGAGTGAATCCCAGTTCTCTATTTACCACTTCTTCCACTTTTTAACTATCAAATAACTTCGGGAGAAATCACAGTTTTTCAGCTGCCACCACCCCGCCAGATCATTATTTGTAATTACCACCCTGAGCTTAGAAAAAGCATCATAAATCCACATACCTGTTTGGTATTTTCTCTCCAGTATAAAGATGGGTGTATCGAATCCCAGAAATATCTGTCCTCTTTTGAAATAAACAAAGGAGCTGGCTAGTTAGTTATAAAATATTTTAAAATAATATTTGAAATTAATATTCCTTGTCAGATGTGATGGGGATAAGGCAGGACTTTTCCTTTAGGCGAGATCTTGCTTAGTAAATTTTTAAAAAATCAAAAAGGGGTAAGAAAACGGATCTCATCCACCAACGGAACAGCTCCAGCCTGTCATCTCTTTGCACTTTTGGGGCTGCTGCTGCTGGGTTACAGCAGGATGGCAGCCCTGCAACCCATCCTGGGACAGATCATCCCCAAAGCAAAGGAGAAAGAGAGGGAGCAGAAGAAAAGAGAAGAAGAGGAAGAAGAAGCAGAAAGAGGAGAAGAGAGGGAAGACCGCTAAGGAGACATGGCGGGGAGGGAATGGCTCGGGTTTCAGGGAGGCAGACAGGGACACATCCTTAAATTGGGTGCTGGCAGAGACTGGGTTACGCCTCGAGGGGAAGGAAGAAGCTTTTTTCAGAGGATTTGGGCTTTTCAGCTCCTTCCCACCTCCCTCCTCGGCTGTCTGAGTGCCCACCTGGAGAGGAAGTCAGCAATAACCATCTGGCTGGAAATACTTCTGTCGGTGCCTGAGCCAGCACTGGGATGCAGCAGGAGGGGATGATTCTGACCTCCTTCCCTGCCTGGATGCCGTGGAGATCTGTTCCTTGGGCAAACCAAGGTCTTCCCTGCCTGTTCCCAGGCAAGAAATTACCTTTAGAGGTCCCTTTTTACAGGACTTTTCTTGTCTGGCCATCCAAGGCATCTCTGCTGAGGATGTTAGAGGGACCTGACCTATCCTTGTGCTCTCAGCCTGTGGTGAGGGATGTTCTGGGGCTGGAAACCTTCCCCATCCACCTCCACCACCTCCTGCTCTACACATTCATGTTGTCTGCTCCTGCTCCTGACCAGGGCATCTCTTTATTTCGTGTATATGTAATAATTTTTAACTATTATTATTTTTAACCATTTTAACCATCATTGCAAATAAAAGCTAGATAATGTGAGACTCTTGGGTCTCAGCAGCCTTGAAGACCACCAAAAAGAAACCTCCAAACATACTGGGTTTCCCAGTCATGAATTCTTAAGTTCTCCAGCAATTTTAGGAGCCTGGTGTGCTTTTGGCTTTGAATAAGTTGATTTTATGAGACACAGGATTCCTGCCCTCGTTCTCATAGGAGGCAGAATTTGCCTTCTGGCTCTTGCTGATGGATTTTTCACTTGTTCCTATGCAAAGCTCAGATCTCTAAATGCCCTGAAAAGCCTGGGTTTTGTATTTTAACTCTGCACAAAGCCAGCTCTGGCTACAACTGTCGCCAACTGCTTCTGCTGTTCCTTTCTTGCAGGGATTTAGTAATTAGCAATTAGGCACTTTTATTTCCCAGTAGCAGCAAAGTTCTAATTAACCAGATCATGAGCACAAATTTCAAAGGTGCCTTTTAAGTCTGTTTTGCCTAAACTTTGATAAACTCCCTGCTGTCCTGGCTGTCTGCCAAGGCCCATGGACTGGGAATCATCAGCTCCAGCATCAATCCACATCCAGGTTTTGCAGACCAGGAGCATAACATGGACATGCAGGGATAAGATGCTCTCCACCCTCTCCAGGGTTTCTCTGGGCACTGGGGCAGCATCTCAGCCTTTCTCCATGCCTACATCGTTCCTGCATGTGCTTTGAGTGGCTTGGCAGTATCAGGCTAGGGGATTACGCTGCTCTGAAGAAAAGAAAACACAGCCAGCCTTATTCAAGGAGCAGCCACAACATAAAAAAGGCTAATTATAAAATTCCACAGGACAGCAAGGCTGTTCTCTTGTGTGCCAGGAAAGAAAGAAGCTCTTTTTGTGCTTCTTGATGGTCCTGCTGCCCAGTCAGGCAGGGACACTCTGGGACACTTTGGGACACTCCAGAGATGCTCACAGGAGAGAAGCTTCTGGAGGGGTCAGGGCTATCCCCACATCCACTCAGCAGCTGCCATGTGCCACGGGCAGCATCTGCTGCAGCTTCCTATGGCAGTGGGTGGCATGTCCAGCAGATCTCTCTTCTGGCAGCAGTTTGGCCATGGGTAGAAACTGGGAAAAACCAGTGGCTCACGAAACTGCAGAAAATACAAGGCCTCCAGAAAAACAAGACAAAACAAACAAAAAACCCAACCAACCAACCAACCAAAACAAAACAAAAAACAAAACAAACAAAAAAAACCTCCTAAACAAAAAACAAAACCAAAAATCCAAAACTGATTTCCCTTTTTGATTAGTTGGGAAAATACAGAGAGGAGAGATAAACTCGTTTATCTAGGCTACACCATGGCCAGGAAATGCATTGGGGATATAAAGAAGAGCCTGGTGCTGCATGAAAAAGCCATAAGAAACAAAAGGCATCTGCTTGCTGCCAGGAGGGAAACACAGGACAGAGAACACCAGTTGCTGTTTTGAGCCATTAGCTGCTGTATAAAGAATGACAGGATTCCCCTGCTGATTGCTGAGCTAAATCATTAGGTATTTTGAAGAAGGCCTTTGAATAAGGGAAAGATGTAAATCCAGTACAAGACCATTTTGGTTCCCTGTCCTGACATCAAGCTCTGCTTCGGTGCAGCTGGAGCTGTGCTCCCAGCACACCCCTGTGCTATTTGGGAACCACTAACCAATTTTAAGAGCTTTTCTGGCAGTTTATAAGTACTGAAGGAACGGCAGGGGTGAGGAAAGAGCCGTGGAAGCCCCCAGGGAGACTCAGCACTGCCCTGGGCTGCAGCAAGCTGGAGCTCGGGGACAGGTACCCATCTCGTCCCCAGACAAAATCACCTTTGTTCCTCCCTAATCTGCTTCCTGCCCGTCGTGCTGCAGAAAGCACCTCGGGCAGGTGGGAAGGAGCAGCCCAAGGACGCGGTGCTGACAGGAGGCTCTCCGGAGGGCAGCACACCCATGCCATGGGCTCCAGCCGCCATCCCGCGCTGGGGAGGAGCAGGAACCGATCCCAGCGGGGTGAGGGGATGGGAAACAGGGAGCTGGGTCCCCTCCGTCATCAAAGACACTCGATGTGGACCAGAAAACTCCTTTTTCTGCCTGCCATTACCTCTAGGGGTGAAATCTCACCTGGCAGCAGGATCCTATGGGACAACAGCAATATATATGCTTTATATATATATATGTATATATGCAGGTATTTATCCACGTATATTGATTTTTATGGCTTCTCCATTGGGACCAGCACTTGCTGGCTTCTCTGCCAGCCCTGGGGAATTCATGCATCCCACTCCTGCTGCAGCATCGCTGCTGTGAGATGGGACTGCTGCAGCTTCAGTGCTTTTAGATTCACTCCACAGAGTCTAAACTGCGCCAAAGTGAGTGATTGGGAAGCGATGACCTGTGTGGGGACAGCCAGGCTGACAAGACAGATGTCCACATCGCTGCCTGCCAGCGCAGGAACCTGCGTGGGATGGAGAAGCCGTGGCCGAGCCTGACGCTGCATGGAACAGCTTGTGTTGGAAGGGACCTTGGAAGGCTCGTTTAGCTCCAGGAAAGCTCCGGAGGGATGGATCGCCTGCCTTGCCGGCTGCCGCGCGGCTGAGTGTGCACTAGGTGGCACGCAGCTGCAGGGAGAAACGCCTGCGACAGCGGGGAGAGGCTGGAATTTGGGAAGAGAGAGGAAAGCTCCACTGGGAAAAGCAGGCAGAAGGCAGAGCGGGATGAGTTCTGCGCCTAATTAGAGCTAATGGCCAGGTAAGTGTGTCCAGAGCAGGTGAGACAGGAACACAACCCAAAGGACTCAGCTCCAGAGTTTCTCGGCTGGATTTAGCAAAGGCAGGGATGGAGAGAGCCTTTAGATAGGGGTCAGGATGACAGGAGAAGGGTCAGGGGTTTGAATTGAGAATGGTAAATTTAGGATTGACATAAGGAATAAATGTTTTATGATGAGCGTGGTGAGGCCCTGGCACAGGTTGCCCAGAGAAGATATGGATGCTGGAAGTGTTTAAGGTCAGGGTGTGCGGGGTTTGGAGCAATCTGGAATGGTGGAAGGTGTCCCTGCCCATAGCAGGGGGTTGGAACAACCTGGGCTGGTCCCTTCCAACGTAAACTGTCCGAGATTCCCTGATTTCCCCTGAGAAGGTGGGCAGTGGAACACAGAGAGCTGAGCTGAGCTCATGGAGCATCTCCCACTACCAGCAGGGATGTGGAACATGTCCCTCTCAGTAGATAAATCCCAGGGGTTGGACAGCAGGAGACACCCACACCAGATCCATCCCTGCTTTGTCTAACTGGCCCCTGGCAGGAGCCAGCAGCAGCTGCTGCAGAGGAAAATGAAATGAAATTTCACATATTATCCTTTGCCTGCAGAGGAATTTCTTCCTAATTCCTGTCACTTTGGGTTTGTCTGCTTAGGGAAATTAATTTGAAATCGAGTGGGCTGTGAATTCAAAGTGCTGCAGCAATCCCAGCAGAGCTTGGACAGGCAGTTTCCTAAGTGGCCAGGCTATTCCCTGGAGCACTAGGCTAAGCCTGGCAATTTAAAAGAGCCTCAAGCATCAGGTTTTGTAGACATTAGTGCAGGACCTTGAGCCAAAACCGTGTGAGAGAGAGCAGCCACGGAGAAATTAATTCAACAGCCTTCCAGCACCGCTGCAAGAAAAGGAGCAGGGGGAAGGCAAATATTTGGCTGGTTACCCCAGTGTGTGGATGGATCAGACAGGAGATGATGCCACGTTGGAGGACTCAGTGCTTTGCATACTGATTTGGGGAGCATGCAGAGAAGGGTGTGGGAAAGAGCAGCATGGGGAAAAAAGGATCCAGCCGAAAAAAAAAAAAAAAAAGCATAAGGGACTATGTTAAAATCTGGGGATCATTAAGGTAAAAATCATGTAAAATATAAAATATATTTGCAGGCAGCAAGGATTGTGAGGTCTGCATCCCTGTGAAAACAGGGTCCTTAAGGACAGCAGAATACTGAGATTCAGCTTTTAGACTCAGGGATCATCGAGGATCTTTACAGCCACCCTCACACAGAACAGTTGGAGGAAGTTGTGCAGTGAGGTCTGACAGGCTCAGCTGGTCACCAGACCCCGAATTCACGTTGCC